CACAAGCGAGCTCCTGGAATGAACGGAAAGAAATCAGCCTCTTCCGACTCTCTCCGCTCTCCCCCCAAGCCCACTCGGGCGTCTCTTTCGGCGGGGTCTCAGCCCTTCAAGAAGAGGCTGTCCTGTTCCGTGGGTGGCTTCAGGTAGATTTCTTTCCCCGTTCTCCGGCTGGGGACAGGGGAGATGACGTCGGTGCGCAGACAGAGACCCCTGTTCGTGCAGGAGCGATTCCGAAGGGTCCGAGGCAGCGCGGTCTCGGGAGGCGTGTGCTGCCGAGGCCCCTCCCGGAGTTAGCTCTTGCTGAGGCATATTAAGTAGTGCAGGAGGTCTATTCTGGAGGACTGGAAGAGCGCGAAGGCCAGCTTCCCCACGGTGGCGCCCTTCGTGCCTTCCCTCATCAGCCACCTCTGCAGCATCTGGTAAACCTTTTCCCTCAGTCCGTCTCGCTCGTAGTCGTGGTCGATTTCATCGATCTGGGATTCCACGAAGCCCAGCTTACGGGCACAGTTCTTCCAGTGCCTTCCCAGGTTCTCCCTGATGGGGTCCAGGTGCCTGTCAGTCACGCTAGTGGTATTATCTGCCAAAGAGAAAAGAGAAGACAGCGTGCAGCTATGACCCACCGGAACATTCTAGCGCCAAAGACCCCTACAAGGTGAAGAGCATCACGTGGCAGTGAAAAAGGTAACTTCCTTTTATGTTTTTTTTTTAAGATTTATCTGTGCATACAGAGCTGGGCTACAGGCCAGACGTGCAAGGTGAGAGGATTCACCTTGGGGAGCAGAACAAGTGAATCTACTGAGGTACACTGCTGAGGGGAGCAGCGGGGAGACAGGAGAGGTCCGCTGCGCCCTGTGGGGCACCTCCCTAGGATCGAACTTGTGCCGAGGTGCGTGCGGCCAGCCTCACAGTTGTACCACCAGGGAGGGCCCCAAAAAGGTAACTCCTTAATTCTATAGTTGTTGACTAGACTGTGCATTTTGCAAGTCTGCTCACCCGTGTAGTCTTGTGTGAATTTTAACAGGAAATCTCTTTCTCCCAACAGATGTGGGACTAAGCTACAGCTGGTGGTTTGGGGAATGATCCCCCAGCCCGGGTACGAGGCCGTTCCACACAGCCTCAGCCTGTGGCCCTATTCATAGCACGTTTACAATGCCAGTTTCTTTTCTTTGGCACACTTTCCACTTAGCAAATACTCGCAAGCCCCTTCAACCAACAGTTCATGCTCCACTGACTTTTTCAAGGAAACCAGCCGTGAAGTCTGAACTCACTCAGGAACAGTGAAAGCTCAAGGCTCCTGCTCAATGAGTCCGTAAGAGGCATCTTTTTAAAAAGATTTACTTATTTATGCATACAAGAACTGGGGTGTAGGCCAGTGGTGTTTAGGGGTGAGAGGATTCACCAGAGAGAGTGAGGAGCAGAACAGGCAGATCTACTGAAATAGATTGCAGAGGGGAGCAGTGGGCGAGATAGGAGAGGTCTGCTGAGTCATGTGGGTCAGCTCCCAAGAGGCATCTTACCAAAGATATCTTGGTACATGGAAGCCGAGTTCAAGTTCAGGTACATGCTGTCCTGGAATATGGTGCCCACTCCTCCAATCTCCATGTAATTATTGTCTCCGATCTGAATGCCACTGCTGTTGTAGATGGTATATCTGGAAGTCTCGTCTGCATGGAGAGACACACCCAGCTGTAAGCATGTCTAATTTGAAAGCTAGAGGATAAAAAATATTGTGGTAAAGGGGTAGGGGCTCACTGCAAATGTTTCGGTGACATTATTTATCCTGTGCTACCCTCTGGTAACTTCTTTAAAACATAACTGAACCACCTCGTGTCTGTTAGAATGACTAATATAAAAAAAGCAGAAAAGAACAGGTGTTGGCAAGGATGTGGAGATACCAGCCCCTTTACACAGCTGTAGGGAAGTAAATGTTACTGCCATGGTAGTGAACAGCAGGGGGGTTCCTCAAAAAAGTTAAAAGTACAATTACTGTCTGATCCAGCAAACCCACTTCTCGGTTTATACTCCACCCTGAAAGCAGTGTCTTGAAGTATTTATACACCTATGTGCACAGCTGCATTATTCACAATCGCCAAAAAAAAAATGAAAGCAAGCCAAGTGTCCATCAACAAATGAATGGATAAGCTAGATATGGTCTCTATATGCATCGTGGAATATTATTCAGTCATGAGAAGAAGAAAATTCTGACACATACAAACATCGAGGCCATTGTTCTATGTGAAATAAGCCAGTCACAAATGGCCAAGCACTGTATGGTTCCATCTGTATGAGCACCCAGGCCAACCAAATATGCAGACACAGAACACAGACGGCTGGTGACAGAGCTGAGAGCTGGGAGGGCGGCGGGGAGTTAACATCTGACAAATTTCAGCTGGAGATGGCAAAGGTCTGGAGATGGATGGTGGAGACAGTCACCCAACAAGGTATATGAACTTCATGCTGTTGAACTGGACCTTGGTTAAGAAGGTAAATTTTGGTATATGCATTTCACCACTGAGAAAAAACAGCAAACGTGGTCACCACCAAGTCAGAGAATAGAGGTAGATGAAGAACACAACAAGCACATTTTCCAGCGGAATCTCGACAGCCAAGCACTTTAGATGGTCAAACCGGGCCTCTCAGCTCAGTCCCTGAGGCCAGAGGAGCCTCAGCCCAACTTCTCCCTCATCGTTCGTCCACCCCCGCTGCCTCTCCCCGATCTAGACTCCAGTCACACCAGGCTCCACGACCCACGACTCTAACAGCTGTGCCTTTGCTCGAGCTATTGCTGCCTCTCCACGGGTTACTAACAGCCCAGGCTCCTTCCATGAGCCTCCCCTGTAGCCTTCTTAGCCGCTGTGGCTCTGTCCACGGCTGCGTGGTACCTGGGCAGGTCGCTGACTTGCCCCCCAGCATGGAGTCCTGAGGGGGCGGGCCTGTGCTCTGCACGCGGCCCAACCCCACACGCAGCTCTCCGTCTGTGGCACGTGTTCACTTAGAGCCATGCTGAGCCGAACCTGTCGAGTCCTGCTGCCGTCACTACGGGACACAGCGCTCCCGTTTGTGGGGGAGACTGAGCAGAAGAGAAGGCCGAGCGGCAGAGGGAGGGCACGGGTGTGGCACTCAGCGCCCCAGGGTCCTCTGCGCCCCCCATCACACACACTCCATGGCGTGTGCTTCAAGCAGGACAAGGAAACCAGGAGCCTTCGCTATCAGGAGGCCTAAGAAATATACACGTGCACGCAGAGGTGCGGCGTGTAAGCTTAGGTGGGTCGCAGGTGCTCCAAGTGAGGTCCCGGAATCCCAGCGGTGACCCTCTGGGTAAGGATGGGTTCTAAGGCTTAGCTTTTGCCGCTAAAGGCTCTGCCTTTGCTACATGCTCTTTGCCAGTAGTGACTGTCGTGGCAACAAGACAGCAGAGGCGGTGACTGCACATTTACTGCGTGAGAGCAGAGCAGCGCTGAGCCACGCAGTGCTCCCAGCCCCACCTCGTCTGCCGTGACGCTCCATCACCAAACAGCCCCGCAGAGGCAGGGGAAGCCAGCCAGCACGCGGCCCAGTTTCTTAATCAGTGCTTTTGCGCTGGCTGCCCGCTCACACCTGGCCACTAGGAAAACAGTTAAGAGTAGCGAAATGGAGAAACAGCCGGGGCCCTGCGCACGGGGGCCTTGCGACGTGTCAGCTTCCGGCTGTAGCATTTTCCTCCCTATGAGGACGCTGGACAAGGAGAGCCGTGACCTGCCCAGAGTCGGGCAGTGGGGGGGCCACGGGGACCGCAGGGGTGAGCCTCCCTTCCTGGCCTCGGGTCGATACGGTGGTACTGTACGAGGGATGCTAAACCAAACCCCTTCCCTTGCTGACTCTCAGTAACCTGCTTTGCACTTAAACCTGACAGAGATGAGGATTGAAAGAAAACTTCTCCCTGCGAACGGTGGCCTCTGGCCCGTGTAAGCATCAGTACAACCAGACGCACCTTCTTCCCTCCGGAGAGCAGCGGGCAGCGAGCACGCAAGGGGACACCTTTGCCTGCACAGCGACCCGGCCGGCGGGGCCCCTGACCCACGCTAGCGAGGAAGCTCCCGCCGTCGGCCCGGGCTGTGCTCAGTCCTCCCCAGCCCGAGAGGGCACCAGGCCACGGCCGCAGGGGCGCCTGCAGCTGCGGAACCAGACCGCGGCCCGCGGTCCCCACCGCACCTGCTGTACCACAGCCAGCGGCCGGCCGCTCCCTGCACAATTCGGAAAAGGCCAGAAGGGCACGGCGCGAGGCGCGTTACCTCGCGGCGGCAGGGAGCTGAAGGGCATGGTGGGCGTGTTTCCAAACAGGGCGGTCTCGGGCACCGCGGTTTTGTGCTGGCTCAACGTGTAGTTTGAATGTGGCCCTTGCCACACGCGGGGCCCCGCCGCCCCCGGATCCAGGGGTCTTGCTCCCAAGCCAGAGGGGCCGCTCAGTCCGTTGCTGCTGTGCCATAACGGGGGCTGGCTGGTGAGCCCCACCAGCGGGGGCATCACGCTGCCTGGGCCAGCTGCGCCGGGGTACCCAGGGCTCTTGATCCCGGGGGTCTGGGCGTTCTCGTAAGGTTTCTTCTGGGCGAAAGGGTCATGGGAGACCCGGCGTCGTCTTTCCTCCTCTCTGCTGTAAGCCACACTCTGCCAGGGCTGCTGCTTCGTCTGCCTGTCCATGCGGCTGCCGTAAAGATGGTAGTTGGCTTCTTCCTGGAGTTTACTCTGCAGGCTGAGCTCGTTCTCCTCTGGCTCCTGGGCTGGGGAGGGGGCAAACCAGGATTCCTCCACGGGCCCCGGCCCGAGTCCCTGCGAGCTGTGCAACGAACTGGGATGCTCTGTGGCTGGAAACAAATGGTCACACTGAGTTTCACGAAACAAGAGGAAGAAAGCAGAAACCGGCCAGTACTGAGTGTCCGCCTCACAGGGCCATACTGGAAACCTGGAGAACAAACGGAGCAGGGAGGAGGAGGCCCCTCCCTGTGGGCGCTGCAGGCAGAGGGCGGCAGCCACTGCCGAGCAGCGAGTGCGGCCAGGGACACTCGCAAGAACAGGAACGTGTCATCTGCAGAATGGCC